GCTGCATCCAAGGTATGTTTTGGTTTGGAAGTCTCCTACGCAGAGGTTCTAATTCCATAAAGATTATAATTGCTCAGACACAGCGTGACCAATCGATTCTTAATCTTCTCAAGAAATTGGCTGAAGTTTACCGCTTTATGACTCAAGATGATAGTCTTGAAAAAATTGAATCGATGCGCGGCATCGTCGAAAAGATCGTTCACCAGACTCTCGAGTGTGCCCGTTTCATCAGGGACTACTCGGAGAGAAAGAGCTTTTGTGAGTCACCAAGCTATCGTACCTTATACATGAATTTTATACTATATTATAGGGAAGAGACTCAGGAAAAATCTTATCTCGGAAACTGATGACACGATCAAACAGTACAGCGACACTTTGGACGGCCTTATGCAACAATTTCGGGATCAAGTCGATCGGGACGTGGCTGTCTTCGTCCAACGTATGGGTAAGGATTCTGACACGCTTCTGTCTTTACATTCACTCATGCCGTTTCAGGCGATACCCTGGATCTTGGGGATATCGCTTATGTGAAGGGCGCAGGACTAGATACCATGAAACAGTGCCTACCTGGGACGCGCACGGAGATTCTTTCCCAGATTACGGACTGGATCAACGGCAATGGAGATGCTGCCAAACGGGTGCTGTGGCTATCTGGTCCTGCGGGCAAGGGCAAATCAGCCATCGCCCACACGATTGCCAACTGGTTCAAGGAATCGGGAGGCCTTGGTTCATGTTTTTGTTTCAATTGGCACAGAGAAGCAGATCGTCGCCATGAAAATATTTTCTCTACCATTGCGCGCAATCTCGCTGACCGTGATTCGGGGATGAAGCGAGCGTTAGCAGATGCGGTCAAGGATGCACACTCGCTCAAGAATATGACGGACATTATCCAGCAGTGGCGCGACCTTCTCATGAAACCGCTAAAGAAGTTGCCTGCGTCAAGTGTAGGGCTTGTCTTGATCGTCATCGAAGCACTGGATGAGAGCGGTGGAAAGGAGACTCGGCACAACCTCCTGCGCATACTTTCTGGTAGACTTCAGGACAGAGGTCTTCCCCAAATTACAGAACTTCCATCCAACTTTCGGATTCTCGTCACGTCTCGCCCACTTCATGATATCGAAGATACATTTCACGGCGCTGAGCATATTCTACGGTTGTCGATGGATGAGATCCCAGCAGCAGTGGCAGAGCGCGACATCCACACGTTCGTATCTGAGGAGCTGAAGGGGCTACCAGATTTTGGCCATAAAGAGTTTACAAATCTAGCTGCGAAAGCCGATGGCCTTTTTGAGTGGGCCCGTCTTGCTTGCGAATACATCAAAGATACCCCTCCAGGCATACGCCAAATGCGTCGCTTCAATGCTCTCGTCAACCGCAGGGCCGGCAAGCAGAAGAACCTGTTGTACGATATGTATCTGGTCATTTTGAAAGAAATCATGAGAAGGGATCAATATGACGATGACGAGTACGAAGAAGCCCTGGCAGGGTTTCGTTCCGTGATGGGACAGATACTCGGCACAGCTGAACCACTCCCTCTCAATTCCCTCGATATCATGCGGAGCTACTTTCCAGACGAAAATAAGCATGACAGCATGGACATTATTAAACGCATGGGATCCCTTCTCAGCGGCACCACCAATTCGCGTATTCCCATCCAACCCCTTCACGCATCTTTCCACGACTTCCTGACAGATAAGTCATCCAGCGGAGAATTTTTCGTCGAGGTGTCCAACGTACAACGCGACCTTGCATTTGCATCGCTATGAGTGATGGAACACGATCTTCGCTTCAATATCTGTGATTTAAAGTTGTCGTACCTCCCCAATTCCCAAGACGCAGAGCTTCCTCAACGAGTCAAAACATCCATTCCCCCACATCTCTCCTATTCCTGTCGATACTGGGCTGAGCATGTTCGAACAACTGACTTTGACGATAAGCTCGCACAGGAAATGAGATCACTCTTCGACGACGAGCGACTGATGTTCTGGATTGAATCACTCGGACTTCTCAATGCGTTTAGCAGCGCAGTTACTATACTTCCATTCGTTGCCAAGTGGCTGAAAGTGAGCAAACACCTACGAGGTATTGTCGGACGAACAACCCATAAATAAATACAGGGCCATTCTGGATACGACGATTTGCGGTCTAACATGATGGATGTACAAAGATTCATTCAAGTGTTTGGCGGTATGATCTTGCACAGCACGCTGCATCTGTATTTATCGGCGCTCCCATTCTCGCCCATCAACTCCACCATGGCTACCAAATTTATGCCAAGGTTTCTGAATAACCTTCGTCTGGCATCTGGTCGTGATTTGAACTGGGCGGTTGTCCAGATTGTAATTAATGGACACACTAGAGAAGTCAAATCAATCTCGTTCTCACTGGATGGTACTCGCATCGCGTCTGGTTCATCGGATAAGACTGTGCGGGTGTGGGATGCAGCCACGGGACAGCCATTGGGTGAGCCCTTGGAGGGGCACACTGCCTTGGTTTGCTCAGTCTCGTTCTCACTGGATGGTACTTGCATCGCGTCTGGTTCATCGGATAATACTGTGTGGGTGTGGGATGCAGCCACGGGACAGCCATTGGGCGAGCCCTTGGAGGGGCACACTAGAGCGGTTTGATCAGTCTCGTTCTCACCGGATGGTACTCGCATCGCGTCTGGTTCAGAAGATGACACTGTGCGGGTGTGGGATGCAGCCATGGGACAGCCATTGGGTGAGCCCTTGAAGGGGCACACTGCCCTGGTTAGCTCAGTCTTGTTCTCGCCGGATGGTACTCACATCGTGTCTGGTTCAGAAGATAACACTGTGCGGGTGTGGGATGCAGCCACGGGACAGCCATTGGGTGAGCCCTTGAAGGGGCACACTGGAGCGGTTTTGTCAGTCTCATTCTCACCGGATGGTACTTGCATCGCGTCTGGTTCAGAAGATAACACTGTGCGGGTGTGGGATGCAGCCACGGGACAGCCATTGGGTGAGCTCATGAAGGAGCACATTGGTATGGTTTCGTCAGTCTCGTTCTCACCGGATGGTACTCGCATCGTGTCTGGTTTGGAGAATGGGACTGTGCAGGTGTGGGATGCGGCGACGGGACAGCCATTGGGTGAGCCAATAAAGGGGCACACTGACATGGTTTACTCAATCTCATTCTCGCCGGATGGTACTCGCATGGCGTCTGGTTCATCGGATAACACTGTGCGTGTGTGGGATGCAGTGACTGGACAGCCATTGGGTGAGCCCTTGGAGGGGCACACTGCCCCAGTTCGCTCAGTCTCATTCTCACCGGATGGTACTCGCATCGCGTCTGGTTCAGAAGATAACACTGTGCGGGTGTGGGATAGAGTGAATGTGCAACCATCCCCATCCCCCCGGTCCAGAGACTCATATCCCTCCGCATTTTCGCTGCATTGAAACACCTCATCTCCCACCCAAGAAAGCCGCATCATTCCACCCAACACTTGTAACGCTGCCCTGATTTTCTTCTCTTCCAACCTGGAATACGCTCTGCCAAACCCCGCTGACTTGCTCGAAACCGCTTCACATCATGATTCTCATTCAACCCCTTTCTTGCTGCAGTCTAATGGATGGATGATGGGACCCAATCATCAGCTCCTTTTCTGGGTACCTCCATTGTCCTGATATCCATTTTATTCTCCTGGTACTGCAATTGTAATCCTGAGAGGAGGCGTTGAGCTTGATTTGAGCCATATGGCACATGGGACGCACTGGTTGAGTTGCCGAGATGTGTGAGTTCTTAGCATTTGCCATCCGTCCTTGTAGTTGCTAACATCAATCCTGGTAGCTCCGCGTAATGACGATTTTATAGTTGCAATATTCAGTGTACCACTCAATTCTTTGATTCCTTGTCAGTGTTATACCTAGCATCGAGCTTGAATTTACAGTTGTCTGGCTGTCAGAAGCCATCAATATTTCAGTTGTCAACTATACCAGATACACCTATACTTCCCACATATCCTAGTTAGTAAGGTGGCCTTACCATAATGTTCTGGCCACTTAATAAAGCCTTTGTGCCTTCCTATGGAGCACCGGCGGTGCGCACCAGCAGTTTCCTTGTACTTAGAATATTTTACTCTACAGTCTTTTTCCCACCATTGGCGTCATCACCCTTTTGGGTAATATGGTAGCGCACAACTTCGCACGATGCCACCACACTCGCGCTCGTCATTGTTGACGACGAGCTCATATACGGTGAGTTTTGTTTTATTTTATTTTACATATATATCTCTCACTACAGGACATCACAAGACTACATATAGGCATTACTTTACGAGGCTCCTAGGTTCGTTCTCTGTGCATACAGGTACGTTAACCGAAAATCAACAGTGCATGGGAATCATCCTGCCTTCAGCGTTCCACCACGCACCTTCACCTCCAAGCTGCCTATCCTCCCTCCTGTCCCCCATGACACTCAATGCTGTGGGCGGTGTATCATGGAAATGCTCTGTCCATGTGGGCGGCAAAAAGACCAGGACTTTGCATACAGGAGTACTTCGCCAATGCCAAGATGATGCCCGTGAACTTTGCGCTTCCCTCCTCAAGAGTAAGTTCATCTCTCTAATTTTTACTGTCTAATTTACTTCCATTGATAGTACTGTAGAACTCCCTTTGACAGAGCACAAGCGATTATTGACCTCTGGAACCCAGCAATGCGGCCCCAATTCATCGCCACCCACACTATCAGACGACTTCTCTCCTTACTCCATGGACATCAACTCCATGATTCCTCCTCCCAGCGAGGAAGGATTTTCCTTCAGTCACGCGGGAGATGAACTAACAATCTACTGGGAACTAGAAGAACTCACAACAACAATAGTGAAGTAAGTTCAGTGTTTCTGTCACACTCACAAGCACTTAAAACAACCCTTTCTTAGTAGACAAAGGTTGGATACCCGTGACCGTAGTGGCCGTATCGCACTACTAGCATCAGATTGGGCCTCACAGTATGAGGCGCTCACGGACGCCCTTCTCAACTATATGCACGATCCTCTGGAGCCTTTGGAGCCTCCTTCCTCAGTCAATGAGACCGATCAGTTTAGCATCGAGGTCATTGACATTTTTGGTAAGGCCTTCTTGTTCAATCGAGCTTTTGCATCTCTAATGGAACCTCAGACTGACGTTTGTGCACATTCAAACACGTTTCCCCATTCATCAATGTCTCATTACTCCATTTTGGTTGTATAGGTAGCTCACCCATTCGACTGACCATTGCCATCACCATTCGCATGCTGGATGTGTACAGGCAAAGCCACCGAGTAACCCCGCGCTTCAGTATTCATGCGGAAGCGAAGATGCTCTGTTTTCTCCATGGTGTAAGTTTCATGGCATCATCCTCGCACTGCTCTGATGTTACATAAAATTAGGTATACTATCGCAGACACCTTGCCGAGCAGCTTCGCATCAGTTATGATGTATATCTTGAACTCCATCGGCGCATAGACCACCGCCTGGACAAGGTTCTAGGCCACGATTCGGATAACTGGCGGATGCTAAACTCATGTCCTGCATGCCAGTACAAGCTGACGGATGAACCCCCTCTAGAATTTTCTATCCTGTGTGCTTGTGACAGCAATAATTCGGCCAAATTGGTCGATCCTGCCATATGTGGTAGTCAGGAACACTTGGACACTTGAATAGGAACCTCGTCGATATGGCTAAGTGAATCATACGTTGATGCATTCAAAGATGAAGTCCGTTCAGCTCGTGCACACCAAGCAAGGGAACAGCGCCCTACACGAGACCCTGACAATCCATGGGTTGATGAGCCTGATTCTGTTGATTCTGCAGAGCCGCATACTGTGTGTGTGGACCGTTGGCGCAATGCCGCACCTGAATCTCAGAAGAAAATGTTTGCAATATTCAAAAAATCAGGCATTTTCATTACCGTGTGCCAACATGGCTTCCTACTCACCATCTGTGACATGGTGCGAAGCAGCGAGCTGTATCTTAGTTCCTTCACTTCCCATTTGATGTGCTGACTATTAATATTCTGCAGAATGAAATACCCCATCGCTTCGGTTAAGAAGCTGATGGACGTTTTCGGGAGCAATATTTTGTATGGGTATGACGTAAAATGTGCCTTTGAGAAGATCCTGCTGTGCAGCACACTTGGAGACAGTGCCAAGAGGCTCAACGTGCAAGGTGTTGTCCCCACTTTTCATGGACATGCCCATAATCGTCTCTGTCAGCTTCAGCACCACTCCAAGCACAAACTTGGTGCTGGAATGGAAGATTTTGAAACGTGCGAATGAGTCTTCTCTGAGTCCAATGCATTGGCTTCCGAAATACGTAACGCCACTGAGTTCCACCGACACCAAGCACTCGACAAACACTTCTGTTTTGCTGATACGGACAGGTACGCTGCATTATGTAAGTCCACCCTTTGTCCTCATTGAATATTGAATGATCTAATCACAAATTTAGCTGACTTCATATTCAATAATTATGTCCAAGCCTTAACATCGATATCTACGACTACCATTTTTCTTGGCAATTTTCATGCTTCAAATGCAACTCTCGATCCTGACTTTGACGGCGACCTCGAAGACGAACGTCTTTTCTTACAGCGTCTTGCAAGGAAGAAGGATGAATCCAGTGTTGAAATAGACTACGTAAAAGCATTAAACGAGTATGAAGAGGTGCAGTAAGCTCTCTTCGCTTCAGTTATTCATAAGCTGACGAAAATTGTAAGGCTCACATACAGTTCGGTCAACTCGATTTACGTCCAAATTACTCTCCCAAGGATGCTGGCAATGTACGGCGGCGTCATACTCATGCTGCGACCAAACGTGATCAGAAGGTTGACGTTGTCGTTGATTACGAGCGGCAGATGGCCCTGGACGCACGATGGGGTCCGGATCATCCTGAGCGTGTGAAAGCCCAGTCGCGCATCACCAACCATCTTTATCACAAGGCTGTCGACGATGTCGAACGGCTTGTTGTCATGTGACTTCTCGAATTGACCAAGCTCCAGATGAGCGGTCTAGGTATGGGATCTAATACTGTTTTATCTATTTATTTATTTCTAACTGCTGTCCATCAGGATACAAACTTTGTACTCAGATATCAACTGCTCTCAAGAGTCGAGCCACTGCGATCCGAAATGCGCTAACTCGATATAACAAGTATGCAAGCCAGCTGAATCCTCCTCGCCCCCCATTACAGTGGGAACAAATAGTCGACTACTCATTCTTAGCTGAATTTGACCTGCTCCGCGAAACAGGTACTGAGATCCAAATGAAACGCTGGGCCAATCCCTCTTACCGACATGCTTCCACACAACACCTTGCACACCAGCGAGCTAAGGAAGAGATCCGCAGGCTGAATGTTGAGGTTGGGCGTTTATGCACAAAGATTCGGGATGACACATTGGATTATCCACGAGCCATTGCGCAGCTTGAGCTCGACAATCCACTGCTTGCAGCCCATTTACAGCGTCGGTGGCAATGGCTGCGGTCAGCTAACGGACGACACCTTTGGCGTATTGAGCAGATTCTACGGCTCCCCAGATACAGCAGTCCCATGTCTCCTGGCACTTGTGAAGGTCGGCAGTGCGAGGTTACATCTGCACTTGAAGGTGTGCAACATGGGCTGACAGATGAAGCAGACGAAGGTGAGGGAGATGAAGATGCATTAAGCCGGCAGCTGCAGGATGTTCATACTTATATTGAAGGACTCGATCATCATCGCGTTGACTTGGAATTTGCAGAGTAGTTGTACTTCTCCGCCATCAGACTACTTACTGTATTTTGTCACTGTTGAATTTCATGAGTTTGCTGTTCATTCTCACTGTGATACCAACCGGCAGTGCATGTAAAGGATGTGTAGTAGAGCAGTATTCAAATTTCTCCTATCACAACTTGAACACAATACCAACCAGCAGTGCATGTAAAGGAATGTCATTTAATTTGTGATCATTTTGACCGTCCGACTTCAAGCCCTATGGGCTTGAAGTCACTGATGACGGTCAAAATGATCACAAATTACATGACATTCCTTTACATGCACTGCTGGTTGGTATTGTGTTCAAGTTGTGATAGGAGAAATTTGAATACTGCTCTACTACATTAGTTTATTTAACGATGCTAGAATTTTAGATGGTGCAAAACATGGTATTCATTGCGCTTTAATGTTGAACTGTGTGAGATACTCAATATAATTGTCATATTAAATGGTTGAAACGTTGAAGAGTTGAATTTGAAATTTGAAATTTGAATGTTTGGACAGTGAAATGTGGTTGCAGCAGTGTTCATTACATCGCATTTTGAAGTACATAATCACTATTGAGTGAGCCTCACTTTCACCCATCCACCATGTCGAAGTCAAGTCTTCCTCATTGGAAAGCCACTTTGCTGCATAGATCCCCTACTGTCAATGGCTTCGATGAATTCAAAGCTCTCATTCAGCGTCCTCAAGTTCTCAATGGTATTGCTGGATGTGAGGAACGGTGGGAGTCAGTGCTGTTGTCTTTACTGATGCATGGGCTCCACAACGATGGCAGCCATCTTGACCATAACAACAGCTTCTACCAATTGACTTTGGATCACTACCGCACTGGTGTCTCAAAGACTCAGTCAAGTCTAATGCAGGAGAAGATTGGTAATTGGCGTTCTCGAACGTTACACACCGAGCGCATTTTGCATTGTATATTTGACCTGGTAAGTCCTTTCAATTTCTGAATCATCAAACACGCTCATAGCACATGTAGTGCACCGTTCTAGACAGGTTGACAGGTGGATCTACCATTGTATTGCATCACCCTGGTGCTACGTCTCCAAATGTGAACATTGCGCCTCAAACGCTCAAAGCCAACGTATACATCAACCCTAAAGTCCTTGAAGAGCACCATGAGCTCCATGCAGTGGTGGCTCAGATCACCCAAATCTTTCTTTCCGACTATGCTACTCCACTCACAAATGCATTTGCAGACACCCGCACTCGGCACAAGTGGGGTAATTCAACGATGGCTCAGACCCCTACAAAGGGAAAGGCCCGAACAGAAGACCCCATCATGCCGCTCATTCCCTGCCCAATTGTGCCAACCTCTGCGCACTTCATCTTTCCTGGTTGTCCTGCAGGCTCCTTGGAACGGCTGTTGAGTTCCAGTGATTATGTCTTATCACACGCACCATCCTTTGACAACGATACTATCACATGGAAGCCGCATCAAATTGGTTTGATGCAAGGTCGAAGGGATGTGCCCTCTATCCAGCGTCATGTAACAACGGCTGCTGTTGGGGTTGGAGGTGTGCGGGTCAAGGGTGTGTGCAAGGTACTTTTACATTTGTATTCAACTGATATGGCCTAATTTTTCACCTAGGGTACTTCAACCGCTATGACAGATACTGATGATGAGAGCTCAAAGTCATCGCAGTTGTCACGCACCATCACTGTCTACTCGACTTCTGGTAGCGAGTCTGACTCCCAATGCCCTCATTCACGTACAAGATACCCCCCCATAACGCCAATCTCTGCCCTCCCATCGAAGGGGATTTTTTCATCTACTGTGTCGCCTACTTGGACCCCTCCTCGCTTTATCATAGAGCCTCTCTATGCTGATATGTCCGCAATCACGCCATTTGGGGATGCAACAGAGGCAGTGTTGGAGAACCTTGGTTACCCAGACACTTTTCATAACATCTGCATTTCGATCTGTCAGAACTACCTTGCGAAGCGATGGGTTACGATATTGCAGCAGGACACTAACATCTCTTTGGACCATGCCGATGCCATTGGACAAGCTATGTTGAAAGATCGTAACGTACAGCTTCCATAGTTCGGTTTGTATATGCCACTCGCCATGTATCTTACATTTAAATGGCAGAATGACCGTTGTTTTTTCAGTCTTTGAACTTGCGCATCAGCATTCCCTCAACGGCATTTCCGACAAGCCGCTCACACAACCCTCGTCGGTTTATTGCTCGAACACGTGGTCCATACATCAAAGTATCGAAGGAAGTACGCCAACAACTGACTGAACGGCGACGCACCAAACGTCTTGATGAGGACCAGGAGATTTAAGCTGTCCTGAACTATATGAACTCAAAGGCTACCGATTTGGCTTGCAAATTCAAGCAGCCTTGTCGCCATTACCTGGAGCGTTTCACCCTTGGTTCTGTAGTTCACCACCGCAAGCGCAACAAAACCAGTGCATGGCATGCATTTATGCATTTCCAGGGCATCAGAACCAATGCCAGTAAGTCAATCTACCAACCATGTATATTCATTGCTAACAACTTATATTCTAGACAAAGACATGCACGAGAAGTCCAACATTGCGGATTTCGTCAAGGAAGCTACTGAGTACCATCAGCTCACCGCTGAGCAAAGGACCAAGCTTATTTTGAACTTCGATGAAGTCAAGAAGGGTGCTCAAGATCGCCCACCAAATATAACCGCTCGTTCTCGTGCTGCCGAATGTGCTCGTAGCTTCCAGTACGTGAAAGAAGAGGTGGGTGATGTCCATGTTTTTAAAGGTTCAGTGTTTATTGACCGTGAATTTTGGGGCCTAGTTGGAAGCTCTGAAACAACACATTGGCATAGAAGCCATTGTTGTGATGGTTTGAGGCATTTCCGATTTTTCTATGGCGCCAAAAGCATTCTTCACAAGTTCGGCAGCAGAAAAATTTGTTCAGTTGTACTTACGCAAGGATGTCGCCCAATTAGCGACAGATTTCGAGAGTACCATTCTAGCCAATGGCCTTGTTTTAAGTTAGTAATCATTCTCATCCATTTCAATTTATTTTTTTGACGTGAATCCAGACTCGGCCACTAATCATCGGGAGCATGTCGCGAATGCCAAGGCTGCTATCAGAACAGGTCTCCACTTGTCACTATGTAAGTTTTCCCTTGCACAATTTATACTAACAGCTAATATATCGCAGGCAAAGTCACAAACAATCCATCTGCCTCAATGGAGTTCACGAAGTACGAGAAGCTCGTTTCTACCTACTTCGTCAAGCTTGTGGGGTGGAACCACCCCCAATGGGCAAACCCTTCGGACTTAAAGGGTGGTATTGACAGCCTTGAAAGTGTGGTTGAGGCAATCAGACTTCACCATTGCCATTTTGTGGTGATTGACCAAGAAGAAGTTAAAGAGCGTGCACGGCGCATAAAAAATGGGGAGACATTAACTCCCGAGCTCGAGCCACCTGTACCGCTTGAGCCACCTCCTTCTAATACTGTAGCTCTCCCTACTCCTGCTCATACACCCCCCCATGTCACGACAGCTGATATATCATACCCTGTCCCTGATGTTAGTCAGCCTGATTTCACTGCTCCAGATGACAATGCAGCCTCAGCGCCATTTTCTTTGCCTCACAACGTCCAACCAGCCCCACTGTAGAGACTCATGCCTCTCATTGTGCAATATGGCAGTTTTCACTGGGGAGTACATGGCATGAACTTGTAGCATCACTCTGTGTGCTACCTGCAGCTATCTCTATATGAGGCGCAGCTTTCCCGCGCAACGCGCGCCATGCGAGCGTACCTTTCCTGCGCTTCACGATGTATATGCGCGCGCGCTTTCCCGCGCTGTAGCGCCCTATAGCGCCAGCCATCCAGAAGCATCCATCCACTGTCCACCAAGTTCCCTAGTGCGTATATTTCCATTTCTCACATTTGCATATCATTCCATCTTTATTTTTATCATGGACCCTTACTTACATATATACTTACATACCTTACTCGGTAGCGCTTCAGCTCCGCATGACAGCGCTTAGGCGCCATACTTAAAGTGCCAGCAGTACATACTTACTCACTTACTCACTTACTCTCCCACCAGAACGACAGAGGACTTACTGGTTACTACCCACTATTTACCTAGCAGAACATAGTAGAAATCTATTTGTTTACACCTCGCATCTCCCTTCTCTTGTCTTACATCATATCATCACCTAAGCAAACTCACTCTTACTCTCTCTTGTTTCCGCATACACGCGCGCGCATTCCCGCGCTTCGCATTGGCCAACCAGTAGCGCTTTCAGCGCATACCTCTAGATCCTTGCTGCACTCGCTTCCCCTTTAGGGTCGAACGCACTTGTCGTCTCAAGTATAGCAGACTAGGCAATGCACGACCTTACAACAATTATAGATACAGTCAGGAGCATTGTTCATGCCTCGCAGTATCATTGTACCTTCACCGCCGCACGGTGAAGATGACATTGAGCCCGCCCGCAGCTCAATTACAGATGATATGGTGGACACAGAGCTTCGTGCTCTTGATCAGGGTAGGTAAATCATTATTTATATTCAATACAGTCATGCTGACGTGCCCTGGTTCATTAGCGCTCCACTCAGACACTCAAACTGCCCTGGAAACGAACTCATCACAGGCGCACACTATTACTCCCATGCTTACACCCCTTATTGATGAGGTCACTCCTGCATTGACCCTCGGGAAGCGAACTGCCGCTGATGTACCGCCAACTCAAACACACAGTCCCAAATGCTCTCAAAAGCTCACAGAGAAAGCTCAGTTGGAGCTGGAGTTGAGGAATGAAACAGACCATCGGGTGACAAAAGTTGGTAGACGGTCAAAAAAAGGAACGCACACACTGAGTCCAATAGGGAAGACTTGTAGTCTGTCAATAGTTGTTACTAGATACAAGATATTGGTTTAATATATGTCCTTCCTCGCCGGGAGGAGGAATCATGGAGTCGATGTCCATTTAGTAAGGAGAGAAGTTGTCATAAGAGAAGTTGTCGTAAGGAGAGAAGTCGTCATAAGGAGAGAAAACATCGTAAGGAGAGAAGTCGTCTGATAGTGGGGGTGGCGATGAATGGGGCTGCATTGCTGGGCTTCAGAGGTCAATAATCACTTGCACTCTGTCAAAGGGAGTTCTACAGTACTATCAATGGACGTATATTAGATGACAGAAATTAGAGAGATGAACTTACTCTTGAGGAGAGAAGCACAAAGTTTCTGTACGCAAAGTCCTGGTCTTTCTGCTGCCCACATGGACAGAGCATTTCCGTGATACACCGCCCACAGCATTGAGTGTCATGGGGGACAGGGAGGGAGGATAGGCAGCTTGGAGGTGAAGGTGCGTGGTGGAACGCTGAAGGCAGGATGATTCCCACGCACTCTGTTGATTTTCGGTTAACGTACCTGTATGCACAGAGAACGAACCTAGGAGCCTCGTAAAGTAACACCTATATGTAGTTAGGCAATGGCACGGGTAACCCGCGGGTATCCATGAGCGTACCCGCACCCGTACCCGCCACTTACCCGCACCCACGGCCCAAGGGTATGCTCGGGTATGGGTTTCGACGAGGGTATGCAAAGGGTATCATGGGTATATAACCCGCGGTGGGTAACCCACGACCCACGCATTCATGTAGATAGATCTATCATAGGTACAAGGGATGTCAGTAGTAGCAACACAATAACAACTAAATATTGATAACATCCCAGCCATCAACCAATTGATCCTCCTCGCCGTCGACATCGTTCAACACTGCAACTGCTTTGACGTCGTCGTCATGCACCAAACCCAACTGGCTCCAGATCCCAACACACAGCAAGGCCCGAGTTGTCTGCGAAGACATTTGGCTGCAAACATGCGAGAGCAGCAGTCAGCCACGGCTAAAAATATGTTCGACATCAACGGATGTAGCTGGTGTCAATGTGAGTAGCAGTACAACAAAAAACGAGGAGAAAACATACCAGGAATTGTCAGATAATCAAGCGCCATGCGCGAGAGACGCAGATAAGTTGTACGGTGCTTGTGCCACCATGAAATGACATTGGGGACATGCTCACACTTTGTGCTGAGGTATGCGGTAAGTTCGTCTGAAGAGGCCGAGTTCCTGGGAGCCGCAAGAGCCGGAATATGGTCGAAAATGTTCTCTTTTCTTGATGTCTGTGAGTATCGGATCAATGTGTTAGCAATGATCCTGATTGAACCAAATCAAACATACCTTTGGAACCTGTGATTCATGCTCACCATCCGCTGACTCTCCATCCGCCGAACCGGTTGGCATGTCAGCATATGCGAAGTCAAACTCGTGGCGCACAAGGTCAGAGGCCGTCTGGATCCACTCTGCCTCCCATCCAGCAGTCTTGAAGTAGCTCAGTTTGTGACGCGGATGAAGCACTTTAAATAGATTAGTATAGTGAACATTACAGAGTGAATGAAAACTTACCCATTGCTATGCGGTATGTTTGAGAAGAGTCGGTAAGGGAATAGTACCTGTCCAAGGTCTTCTTGCCCATAGTGAGTGCGGCGTGAATGGCGCTATTCAAGTTCTGGTCGAAGGAATGGGTAGTGAGTGATTCGTCGATGTGATCCATGGCTGGGATTACAGTAGCAAGGTTTGGCGTGGCACGGGAAAAGTAGGTGGTGGCATCCTTCAAGATCTTTATTGGTGTGAGCTTGAGGAATTAATAAATAGGGACTGCTTGACTCACCGCTAATGTGTCACACAATTGTGTAGCTATCTTCCACTCTTTCTCGCTGAGCTCGAACTTGCGCAGGCCGAATTTGCAGTCCCCAGTGAAAACATCCAGAGCTTGCTGATACTCGATTGCGAAGTCCAACATGTCGAACGTGGAGTTCCACCGCGTCGATACGTCCCGAGGCATGACACGAGCCTTCAGTTCCAGTTCTTCAAGTAGCGCCTTCCAAGCAGGCAGTAATAGTGTGGATGAATGCACAATCCTGAACGCAAGTTTGCGAAGCTGCGAGGCACGTGTTCAATGCATCAGTACGTCGTTCCATTATGTAATCTTGATTCCTTACCTTCACAAGCACAAGCTTAACAGGTCGCAGGTTCTTGTGGAGTTCCTCTCACTCATGAGCCGTCAGGTTTGTGCTCTCATCAACCCACCCTTCAATGTTGTCTATGTCAGTGTCCTCTGGATTGCCCTCACCTCGTTTGGCAATGGTGTATCCATCATCGTTATTGGTACCTTTCGCCAACTCTTGCAAGAGTCGTTCTTCCTCATCCATGTCATCTTCCAGGATGTCCATTGCTTCGGGTGCCTCGTCATCCAATCGAGCCTGCTCTTTTTTTGGTACGTCAAACAGTTTGATGATGGACTTCGCAATGAGATTGACAATATGTAGAAAACAACGTGTTCGGCTCAGTGCGCCACTGAACGAATCCACGTGCTTGGCAAGTTCTGTTGTCAGCGTGTCATTAGAGCTTGCATTGTCGCCCGTCAAACTCAACATCTTCCCACTTGGTAAGTACTGTACTAGAAGCTATGTGTCCCCACTCACCTTATCCGCTATACCAAACTCTTTCAGGATTTTTTCAAACACTGCTGCAAGATTCTCGCCGGAGTGAGACTGAATCCTGGACCATTAGTGATTTTTCAGGGTACGTATGGTATTTACTTGCCTCGGCCACCTCCACTATATCTAGTATCATCACTAATGGTTTTCCTTCATGCTCTAGATGCACGGACACAGCTATGAATGCCTTGTGGTTTGGAGACGTCCACGCATCGGTGGCGAAGTTCAATTGGCCGTCGTATTCCTGGTAAGCAATAGTTAGATTTATTTTTATATATAGGTATGCTACTAAACTTGCAACATCTTAGCAATCTGCTGTTGCGTGCGAGCAAACACCAACTTGATGTCACACGAGACGGTCAATGGAGAAGGTATGTAATATTCCGGTTGACCTGTTTTCATTAGTGACTGAAAGCCGCGATCCTTTACAATGGTGAATGGTCGCAGGCTCTCAGATACCCATCGGACAATCTTGGCTCTGTTGCCATCATTAACCTTGATGTTGATACCATTACAGCGAAGGTACGTACTTCGTTTCTGTTCTTGTGTGTTGCCGGTGTGAATATATGACCTTGCCTTTCCCCTTGCGTTCAAATGATGCCACGATAGACCCGTTTTTCGCCCCGGAGATTATGGTACGTGCCTCATTAGCATTCTTGGCTTCATCAGCCATGTTAACGGACTCTTCTCCCCAGCACAACTTTGCATGCTTCCGCATGTTACTCGTGGACTTTGCATCCTTCTTATCGAGGTAACAGCGCACCCCTTTCTTGCAGCTCGTAGCCGTGCACTTGAATTCATGGTAGCAGCGGCCTTCGTGATAACCAATGTCTGGGACTGGGTGGTAGAACACATAAATAGGTGAGTTCCATTCTTTTTTCAAGCACTCTACTCATTTGAGTTAATATACAACAGTGTCTGTTATGAATCGAGTCTTACCGAGTTCACTATCCGAGCTTTCATCCTCATCTTCCGGAATGACCTCCACAACATCTTCGTCACTGTGAAGAGCTTCTTCTTCCTTGGTCCGTACAAATGCTCGACGGCTCATTGTAGCTTTGGCCGCAGTAGGTGTCGAAGTAGGTGTTCTATCTTCATGGACATTTTTACCCTGGCTAACCATAGGAACTATTGAAGGAGAGTCCAAGTCTTTGGTATCTGACACCACAGTTGTGGGACGTTTCCCAGACTTTCCAGAGGTGAGCTCATGACTTGCTTTTCGCTTGATGATCTTTTTGACATTTGAGAAGAACTCACGCGCCTTCTTGGTAGGCTTGCGCTGTCGCTTGTTGGCCATTGATGCAGAGATTGTGTTGTGTAGAAGCACTGCTTAGAATAGAAGGATTCCGGGTGTAAAATTTAGTTTAAAGTTTTAAATGATGTACTACCATATATAGTGATAACTGTACAGTTCAATAAGCTTCGACTGATGCCAAGATACCCACCACAATAAGCTTCAACTGATGCCAAGATACCCACCAACCCATGCCTATGGGTATGGGTATCTGGTGGGTCAGCAAGCTGAGACCCCTACCCAACCCACAGGTACCCATACCCACGACCCATGTGGGTTTGCAAAACCCATGACATTGCCTATATGTAGTCTTGTGATGTCCTGTAGTGAGAGATATATATGTAAAATAAAATAAAACAAAACTCACCGTATACGAGCTCGTCGTCAACAATGACGAGCGCGAGTGTGGTGGCATCGTGCGAAGTTGTGCGCTACCATATTACCCAAAAGGGTGATGACGCCAATGGTGGGAAAAAGACTGTAGAGTAAAATATTCTAAGTACAAGGAAACTGCTGGTGCGCACCGCCGGTGCTCCGTAGGAAGGCACAAAGGCTTTATTAAGTGGCCAGAACATTACGGTAAGGCCACCTTACTAACTAGGATATGTGGGAAGTATAGGTGACCAGATATCTAAAACCAATCGAGTCCCAAATTTCTTATTGATATCTTCATATCCTGTTTATTCCTCTCAATCTCCAAATACCTCAAATATAAATACATACTACCAAATATACCTATAACACTCCAAGTGCAGGGATGCAGATGGCATAGGAACAAGGGTATGTCGTGCTTCAGTTCGACGGTCATACATACCTATACGAAAAGCGTAGTCGTGAATAGTCAGCGAGAGCACGAAATCTATGACAACGTCACTGACGATCCAACAACATTGCCTGTCTGGAGACTGGCCCAGTGCGTTCATTAGAGTAGTAGCAACGGCGCGCTTCGCAGGTTCTCTGAAGAAAGGGTTGCTGATCCAACCTAAGAGCACCAAGTATCCAGCGGTAACTCGAGCCGCATCAGGAACCTGTATGTTTCTGAGTACAAGAGTGACGACTCACGACCGGCAATACCACTCACAGTGAAGTATAGCGCGCAGCCTTGTCCATCGTAAAGATTGACATCATGAATGCAAGGGCGCCGAGTGCATTGGAGACAATAAAGCATTTGTAACGCCTCTGCTTCTTGTCAGAGTACCTGATCTCCGCGAGATGCGTTACAGTCGTGTTATATCCCAGTTTCGCGCACGGCGTCGGGAAGTAGGCGAAGAAACACTGCCCTACTACGGCCGCAACCACGCCTCCCAGTCAGATATCGGATCCCGCAGTCCTTTCATGGTCGTCTGCTTCCCAAGCTTGTCAGCCTTACCATAGCCATCTTCTACATGGCGAGATATAAGAATTGTGCTTTCCTCTGGGGTGAACCACCTGGTGTTATGCGGGAAATCAGGAAGTATGAACATCGCGCAAACCACGACCAAGATGGTGATACCGCCTTCAACGTAAAATAACCATCTACAAATCATTCAGTTATAGAAACGATCGTCACCTGCCTCCATGCAGCTTGACCAATTTTGTCCTGCATGCCGCGGAGTATAGCGGATGCAAACAGGGATCCGAATGCAAAGTTGAGAAAACTTCCACAAGAAACGAGAGCTAGTCTCAAGGCGACATCGTCTCGCTTGTGCCGTTTAGATACGAGAAATACAATTCCGGGAAGAAGGGAGCTTCGGAAAAGCCAAGAAAGAAGCAGGCGATGACAATCCCAGTATCGCTTGGGTCAAACTATCAGAGACTGGATCTGAACGATGCAAGACAGGGAAACGTACTTCGTTGTGATTCTTGAGCACGATTAGCAACATCTTCATGAACGGTCAGTGTCGACAAACCTGACAATACTGATATTGTAAACGTACAGCACGGGATGATGACAGAAGGCCTCTCCAGCCAGTGCAGGAACATGTTCCTCAAGAAAAGTCACGTTCAGCTGTTTCTCAATCAAAGACAAAACTCACCCTGGCATTTGCATGATAATGTATCCAACAAATAGGATGGACAAAGTTGTGGCGTATTGTTCCCCACGCAGGTGCAGGTCTTTCTCAAAACCTTGTAACCGAACGTTGCTGTAGGCGTCATTAGATTCATACGAGTACAACGGTACTATTTGACACACCTAATATTAGTTCTGTCAATCTAGGATACACAGCAAGTGTCAGAATAGAGTTCGCAAATACCCTAACCCACCGGATTCAAGGTATATAAGATCAGTATTATGGACATACGTAAATCAAGCTTCCTCAGTAATCCCTCTCAGGTCATTACGAGCATGACAGGGGACAATAGTGAGTGAGTCGCTGATAACGTTACGCTGTTGGATCACAGAGAGTGGGTATCGTCAAGGGTGGGAAAACTAACATGCAGGCTTGGATATATTCTTGGGAAAATACTGCGAATTGATTACAGCTGAAAGCTCTGGATCGTCTGCAAACGTTCTGAATCAATATTGACCGTACCACCGAGGATCACGAGGGAAAATCAGGCTGCTCCACCAGGATCTAGTCTACCTAGCGATGCACCGGATCAGCGACTCTGCTGATTGGTTTGGCCAAATAGTGGATCAAAGTGGATGATACAGTGTGAATGACAGAACTTCGCAACGAGAACGTAGCCATCATCCGGCAGAAGCCCCGGGCCAGGGCCAGCAGATATACACATCGGAATATGTAACCTATAGAAGTATCAAAACAAATACACCCTGAAAGTAGTTCGTGAAACTTTACTTACTTTAAGTTCGAGTCGCTGGCTGCCGACGTAAATGTGCCAATCAGCTATTACTAATTAGTTTGGGGGTTTCTAAAGGATATGCCGTTTGCTGCAAGCTTACAACAGTGGGATTCCCCCCATGTTCTAGTTTCTACCCCTTCCGAGTCGGCCCGTCCGGCTTGACGTTGTAATGCTAGCACCCATAATGTGGGGTCTGAGTCGGTGGATGAACATGCTTGAACTGTCGAGGACATGCGGCAAAAATGATGTCTCCAGTCACCGCAATGGCCCAGGCTCGGAAATCAGGATAGTACTCCACTACTCAACGGCACAGGGTCAATTAATCGATCGATTGCCCACGAATTTGATCATGATTCCATGTACAATTTCGTAGACGCAAGCGCTCCAAGTTGGCAAGGCTCTTCAAGATCGCAACCATCTCCTTTCGTGACTCCAACAAGGAAAGAATGAAGGTCCCCAGTCATGAAAACCCACACGCTTCACCGTCATTATCAGCTGAAGTTCGCGCATCTGGTTTGATTGATACTCGCATGGTGCATGTCACCCAAAATGTGTAACGTAATTCGTGAAAAACATGGTCAACGGGACTGGCAGCGTAAGCGGGGTCTAGGTGAGAGTTTGCATGGCGGGGCAAGCGGTGGAACTAACCAATAAGAATGACAGTGAGATATTGCTGATGAATACCACTGAACAACGTTCTCTGCAGGGGGTGTCGTATAGGCCCTACCTCGGAATCTGACGGCATTTTTCGTGCTTCTCGGCAGATGCCACATCCAGATCGGGGTCGTTATTTTCCTAATTGTTCAGCATTGCAATAGCCCGAGTCCGTTCGAAATTATAATTATCACAGTGATATTATCAGGTTTTGACACGACCCTCAGTACTTGCATGCAGGCGCGTTGCGACTGACCGCTTACTCAACAGAGACACAAAGACGGTAATGAGCCCCGAGAATATAAAACACGCAAGACCACTGCATGCATACACTGGCAGCGGATATTGGCAATGCACAGTTAGCTATAGTGGTGACGCCTGCAACACATAGAATAACTTGTCATTGTGATGATCTTTGCAGACGGAACCGAAAATTGTTCTCCATTAATCTTCCAGCAGCCGATTATCCATGCCAGCATCCCGAGATTACCCAGAGAATAGAGCCATACGAAAGCCCGGCGGGCATGAACTTAGACCGCCATACCCTGAGGATGATAGGGATGACTGCAGGACTAAGAACTATTCA